AAATGCACAAAAAACGCAGAGGAATGCAACAAAATGCAGAAAAATGCACCAAAAATACAGAGGAATGCACCAAAAGGGAAGAGAAATGCAACAAAACACAGAGAAATGCAACAAAACACAGAGAAATGCAACAAAACACAGAGAAATGCAACAAAACACAGAGAAATGCCCCAAAATGGCAGCAGAATGCCCCAAAAGGGCAGAGAAATGCAACAAAAGGGCAGAGAAATGCACAAAAAACACAGAGAAATGCCCCAAAAAGAGCAGAAAAATGCGCAAAAAATGAGAGAAATGCCCCCAAAAGGGCAGAGAAATGCCCCAAAACGCAGAGAAATGCCCCAAAAAGGGCAGAGAAATGCCCCCAAAAGGCAGAGAAATGCCCCAAAATGGCAGCGGAACGCACCAAAAGGGGAGAGAAATGCCCCAAACGGGCAGAGAAATGCACCAAAAGGGCAGAGAAATATAACAAAAATGCAGAGAAATGCCCCAAAATGAGAGAAATGCACAAAATGAGAGAAATGCACAAGAAACCACAGAGAAATGCACCAAAAATGCAGGAAAATGCCCCAAAATGGCAGCGGAATGTCACAAAAAGGCAGAGAAATGCAACAAAAGGGCAGAGAAATGCACAAAAAACGCAGATGAATGCACCAAAAACGCAGAGAAATGCACCAAAACCACAGAGAAATGTAACAAAAATGCAGAGAAATGCCCCAAAATGAGAGAAATGCACAAAATGAGAGAAATGCACAAGAAACCACAGAGAAATGCACCAAAAATGCAGGAAAATGCCCCAAAATGGCAGCGGAATGTCACAAAAAGGCAGAGAAATGCAACAAAAGGGCAGAGAAATGCACAAAAAACGCAGATGAATGCACCAAAAACGCAGAGAAATGCACCAAAACCACAGAGAAATGTAACAAAAATGCAGAGAAATGCCCCAAAATGAGAGAAATGCACAAAAAGGGTGAGGAATGCCCTGAAATCGTGGGGTGAAGGCGAAGAAACGGCACAAACTGGGAGGGCAGAGACAGCCCGGAGCCATCACGGCAAGACACCCCAAAAGCAGGGAAATGACCCCAAAAAATCAGATAAAACCAGCCCAAATTGGGCAGAGATGTTGGGAAATGCCTCGAAAGAGCTGGGCAGAGACATCCCGAAAAAACAGGGAGAAATTTATTTAAAACTCACAGAAATGCCCCAAAATGGTGCCACACTCAGCTGGGCAGAGAGGGAAATGACCCCAAAAAATCAGATAAAACCAGCCCAAATTGGGCAGAGATGTTGGGAAATGCCTCGAAAGAGCTGGGCAGAGACATCCCGAAAAAACAGGGAGAAATTTATTTAAAACTCACAGAAATGCCCCAAAATGGTGCCACACTCAGCTGGGCAGAGAAACCCTAAAACAACCATGGAAAATTTATTTAAAATTCACAGAAATGTCCCAAAATGGTGCCACCCTCAGCTGGGAGGAGAAACCCTAAAACAACCAGGGAGAAATTTATTTAAAACCCAAGGAAATACCCCAAAATGGTGCCACGTTCAGCTGGGCAGAGACATCCCAATAAAACCAGGGAGAAATTTATTTAAAACCCAAAGAAATGCCCCAAAATGGTGCCACCCTCAGCTGGGAAGAAAAACCCCAAAACAACCATGGAAAAATTCCTAAAAACTCACAGAAATGCCCCAAAATGATGACACGTTCAACTGGGAGGAGAAACCCTAAAACAACCAGGGAAAATTTATTTAAAATTCACAGAAATGCCCCAAAATGGTGCCACGTTCAGCTGGGAGGAGAAACCCTAAAACAACCAGGGAAAATTTATTTAAAATTCACAGAAAT